ATCGCAGTGCCTCCACACAATGCTGGCATGACGTGGCTCCCGCCCCCTCGCCCTGCAGGTGCGAGAAGTAGGCAAACAAGTCAACCTCGGAGCTTCTAAGGGGCGAGGTCCCTCGGCAGCTAAGGATCCACTTACCAAAACGGTCAAGGGACCCAGCTCGCTTTATGAGAGAGCCGGAAGCGCTCTTCGCAAAAGCACAAGTGAAGGAGTATGACAGAGCCTCATCGTCAGCTAGGTTTGCTGCCTCCTTTGCCACTACCATCCCCAAGAAGGTAGTGTCGGGATCGTACATGATGAGGGCCCTCAGTCGCTTTATGGCGTGCTCCCGTCGATCATCTGCCGGTCGCTCAAGATGAAACCGCCTTAGCCTAGTCCTAACTACACTCGAAGTTTTCTCAAGAAAGGCCGAAGCTGACGGCAGGTTCTCAGGTGGCAATTGACCAGCTTCCTCGGAGCCATAAGAGGCTTGCACACGGTTCCTAAGGGCATCGTCGATCATGTTTCTCTCAGGTCCAAAAATACTGGACCATGCACCTTGCTCCCAAGGCAACTTTGGCAAGTCCTGACACACACGCCTGAACTTTGCCTCCTGAGCAACCTCGGCCCACCTGGCATCCTCGAAGACACGCTTGCAGGATAGCGACTCAGCAGGCAGAAGAGGCTCTTCCGCAACACTGGTTGCGACCTCCTCTCTGTCACCTTCGACTAGGACCGCGTCTAAAGAATGATCTCGCACTGAATCATACCAAATGTCTTCAGGGTCAAGAGACCTTTCCCGTTCCCCACTATGAACCATATCATAAGAACCCAAGTCCGAGGCAGGGTCACCAAGGTTGGGGTCGTGCACAGGGTCGTAAGCAAAGGGACTAAAAGGCTCCGACAGCCACAAGGCGGGGTCCTGGCTTTCCTCAGGCACGGCAGCATGGGTGGTTGGGCTCAGGGGAGCCAACAGACCCCATGCGTTGACACTGGCTGCATCATCACTAGGCTCCTCCCCCTGACCAGAAACCGAGTGATCAGGATCAGCCTCAGTCAGGTTGGCGGCCGCAGGGCCCGCTGCAGCAGGCGAGGCTTTGGGAGTCGCACCTGTGGACAGCCTAGGCACCATACGAAGCTTTAGCTCTTTCAAGCAGACTGCTCGCGCGGCTCAAGAAAAACTCTGCAGGCGCTGCGCAAGCCCTGGATGATCCCCTCAAGCCACGAGAGGCGTTGATGATGACCCGTCTGGTTCACCCAGACGCGAGCAAGGGACTCCTCCAGAGTCTGCAAATCGGACCTGAGGGCTTGAACCTGAAGCCTCAGGGCGTTGACCTCCAATTGGAGATCGTGAATGTGCTGGCTGTGAAGCTCGCGAGTGCTAGTGGAACTGGCCTCGGATCGATGAGAAGATCCGTCAGCGAGCGCTTCACCGAAGTCCATCTGACGCCCCGCACGAAAAGCGGGGAGTCGTGACGCCCTAAAGCCAGCACTTAGGGGGGCCCAAGACCTGCTAGGACGCCGTTACAAGCCTCTAGCAGGGCCCAAAAGCAAGAATTTTGCCCCACCTTCAGAACTTGAGATGTCAAGGCAGCACGGGGCAAAATTTCACAAGATTCATGTAACATGATGACAGCACTGCATGTTCATGTCACATGAAAAATCATTCTTCTCCAAAGACAAACTTCGTGTTTTAGCAACGCCCAAAAAGGGCACTAAAACAGAAAGAGAAGGGGAAAAACTTTTTATGGAGAAAGTGACGTCGTGAAGCACGAAGCTTCCATCCTCCCAGCCATAAAACTGCAGAATGTTCAGGCATGCAGTGTAATATATTATATATTCTTTGTGTCGGGTCTCATGCTGCTGCCATGATGAGCGGGTTAAGTATTACAGAGCTTTTATTTAATCCAGGAGCCCAATAATATCGATTGAGAATGTTCTCCAACAAAGACATGCGAGAGCAATCGTTCTTATCCAGATTTGAAGGCTTCTGAATTCTGACCAGAGCAAGATAAAGATAACACTGCTTCCAGTTTCGTGGGTTCTCCGGATTCTTGGGCACGGCCAGATTATTTTCAATCAAATTACTATTGAACAGGGCAGCTGGGGTGTGGGCAAGGTAGTCCAAGGTTTTAGTGTTGTTGTATGGCAAATTCTGTCGAAAGCTAGCAAAAAGTCTGGCAAACCTCACAGTTTCAAAGTTGATGGCCCGGACACGAAAGTCATGCCCTCATGTGTGGCCCCACTACTTGAAAGAACACTCCTGAGGACATACTTAGCTTGACTCTACTTTTCTTGAGTCACTACCACTGTCACTGTGTTAGGCTTCTCCTGCAGCAAGCTAAACCCGAGACATTTGCAAGGCTTCAATCAAAGCATGAATGAAAAGAACCACTAGAAAAATGGGGCCCTTTGGCTCACTCTGCATGGGCAATGTGTGTATATATATATATATATATATATATATATAGAGAGTCATATATATATAGAGAGAGAGAGAGAGAGAGAGAGAGAGAGAGAGAGAGAGAGAGAGAGAGAGAGAGAGAGAGAGAGAGAGAGAGAGAGAGAGAGAGAGAGAGAGAGAGAGAGAGAGAGAGAGAGAGAGACAGACAGACAGAGAGAGAGAGAGAGAGAGAGAGACAGAAAACGAGCAAGAGAGAGAGAGAGAGAGAGAGAGAGACAGTGAGAGAGAGCCACTTTTTTATTATGTTGTGTTCTGCATTTCTGTTGGCTTTGGGTCTCCGGGCTGCCTTTTTCACATGAATCGTAAGAACAAAAAGGCTTGTGCTGGAGTGTTTCTCTGCCAGATGAAGTAAATAGCCCCGGAGCGGCCCCTTCCCGCCTTTGAATTTGGGCACTTAGAACCAATTGGCCTCAGTTGGGCTTGGGGCTGTGGGATAGTCTATTATTGACTTCACAATGGACTTGCTTGGAATTGGGGGTGTCCTATCTGGTTAACAAGACTCCCTGTTGCAGTGCCGACATAAGGGATAGCACATTGCATTCATTATTCTCCTTCCTCTGCAACAAAGGCTTGGTGCTGTGCACCATTACACTCCGGGCGGGTTGTTCTGACTTGAGGTTGTCAATATTGAATCCCCCCACCGTCTTGCAGCAAAACAGTTTTCGAAACCAATTGGCCATGTGACAGGCTCATCATGTGCAGCGGATGCTACCCCCCAAAAAAAAAGCATACTATGTATCTGTCGAACACACTAAAGACCCACATGCAGAGATCCATCCGGACCGGAGGGCTCCAGCATGACCCTCATGGATGAGCACTAAACCTGGAGAGTGTGGACATCATAATTCGATGTTCCCCGGTTCGTCACAAGAGGCGAACACCCAAACCCAGCAGCACTCTCGAAACCCGCCGCCCGGCTGGCAGCAGCATCACGACCCATTGCAAACAAGATATTGTGCTACATGCCAAAACATTCTGCAGTTTTGTACCTAAACCCAGCAGCACTCTCGAAACCCAGTGCCCGACTGGCAGCAGCATGAGGAGCCAACACAAAGAAGATGTTGTGCTACATGCCTGAACATTCTGCAGTTTTGTAGCCAAACCCAGCAGCACTCTCCAAACCCACCGCCAGGGCCAGGAGGGGGGACGGTCGGGCCGGTAATGACGGCATTAGTGAGGGGTGGGGCCGGTAATGACGTCATTAGTGAGGGGTCGGGCCGTTAATGACGTCATTAGCGGGGGGTCGGGCCGTTAATGACGTCATTAGCGGGGGGTCGGGCCGTTAATGACGTCATTAGTGGGGGGTCGGGCCACTAATGATGTCATTAGTGGGGGGTCGGGCCACTAATGATGTCATTAGTGGGGGGTCGGGCCACTAATGATGTCATCAGTGGGGGGTCGGGCCGCTACTGACGTCATTAGCGGGGGGTCGGGCCACTAATGACGTCATTAGGGGGGGGGCCTGCCCTAATGACGTCATTAGGGTGCCCCGCGGCCCGCAAATGACGTCATTTGTGCTCGGTGTCTTAATGGACCTTTGGTGGCTACACCCCCTAGCGACCAAAGGCCCAGAGTCATTAGCAGGGCCTGGGCCTAATGAGTCTGGACCTTTGGTGGCTTTGGGGGGTGTAGCCACCAAAGGTCTCGAATTGCATTAGCGGCAGCCCAGGCCAGGTAATGACACTAGAACTTTGGTGGCTACACCCCCCGTAGCCACCAAAGCTTGAGGATCATCAGGGGCAGCAGGTGTCAGACCACACAAATCCAACAGAACACGTTGCCAGCATTTGCGGGCAACGTTGAGTTGCCTGCACCCCCCAGGGCCAACATAGGTCAGTCTACGTTATAGAGGCCCAACTTACATACGGCAGCAAGTGCTGTGGCGTTTGTTTGTTGGCCCGTCCTCGCGTGAACCAAGCAATGTTGGCTACAGGGCCTGTAACAAACACAGTTCGGAATGTAAATGCAACGGCAAAGTTCTGGTCGATTTACTGGGTTAATGCTAGAGATTCCAAGGACCATGGTGTCCACAGCTACAAGAAGCAAGGTGGAACATGTCATGAAGAAGCTCTTCGCTGTAGCCGACATCGAGGATGCAAACACTTGCTTGCATCCAATGGATTGGCTGGCATCTATCCCAGACATGGCGAGCATGCTGGAGGAGCAGCAACTTCGTGTGCAGAATGTCTTGGCTGGGTCCGGTGGCTGGCGTCCTCCTGCTCATCAAGATGTGTACCCTCCTGGCATTGCTCCGGGAGAAGTCCTGGACCTGCTTCTGCCTACGTGGTTCCTCGGCTTTGGGGAGGCATCCGCTCTCCGTGGAAAGCCAAAGGCCATCAACATTCTTGAGACTGTGCGTAATTTCCTGGATGGAGTTTTCCAAAGTGCCAAGTATCCTCTCAGTATGTATTTTCCAAGCACATGTGTGGTTGGGGACCCGATTGAGAAGTTCACTGTTTCTCATGCCGTCGGCATGACAAGGAGTGTGGCCACGAAGTGTGTCCTGGCACTCATCGAACAGGCAGGCTTGTCGGATGCTGAATTCGTCGAGTTTGTGCCCTTGATCAAGTCGTGCCTCTACATCAAGTGCACGTTCGAATCGTACTCGTCGGACGAAGACTTGCTGCAAACGAGCATTCTCAGCAAGATGGTTGTAGCAGAATCAACACGACCTGATATCATCCAGCTCTTCCACAGCTTCTCGCTCAGTGTTGCCAAGCAAGGCCTCGTCTATTCGGCAGTGATCGATTCCAAGATCGCTGACTTCAATCGGCGATCCTCTGTGGATTCGGGTAGAATCTCTGACGCCGAGCGACAAATGCTCAAGTTACTCCCTTTGCAAGACAAGCGCTACCTCTCGGTGCTGAGCCAGCATTGGGACGCCTTCAAGGCAACGGAGAGTGCCATCCCACTGAGGACACTTGTGAAGTGGACGGACAGGGCATTGCCGGCAGACATGTCCATCGGGTCAGAATGGAAGTTGATACTCACTTGCAGTGCACTGAAGAACCTCACATTCCTCATGAGGCAAATTGCAATCTTCCTGCGATCCCTCAAGGAAGCAATGAACACTGCCAAGAAGTCCATCAACCTTGCCTTCCGAGCGCCAAAACTTCGTGATCCGAACCCACAGATCGGGTATGACATGTGCTGCCTGTGGTGTCACTTTGCCACTGACTTCGAAAAGATGTTGGGCCCCACTGTCTTCGCAAAGGCTGAGACACAGTTTCTGCGTGGGCAATTCGACCGAGAAATGACGGAGAAATGCAGAACATGTGATGCAAAGATCGTGGCAAAGGACTTCCGGTTCATTAGTGTGCTCATGGGTACGAACACCAATGTGCAGTCACTGCAAGTGGTGGCGGCCGCGGCAGAGTCGGAACTTGAGCAAGCTCGCCTGAAGGCGGTTACAGCACGGCTCGCCCAGGAAGAGCACTTGTGGCGGGAGTACTTGGATGCCATGAAACAATGGACTACGAAGAACAGTGCGGACCGAACAACTTTCCTGCTCCGGGAGAAGGATGACTTGGAAAAGGCCACGAAGGAGCTGGTGGATGGTTCAACTCCTGTGTACTTTCTTGACAATCCCGGGTTCCTGAGTACCACTGTGCAGTCAGCTGTGCACAAGTTCTCTGTGGCACCAGACCTGTTCCAAGTCATGGTCTGTGACCTCACGAAGCTGGGCTCGGCCTTCAGTAAGTACATTGTCCAGATTGGCACTGCTGTGTCCGAGTTTGTGAATGGCAACCCAAAGTTCACTTGTGGCCTTGTGTTTGCACCCAATTGTGCAGAGTGGGGGTCCGCTTACTCGGAAAAGAAGCTGAACGAGGCTGTGGCCACAGCCGAGACCCAATTGCGCACAGATGAGCTCCACATGTCCGTTCGCCGGGGCACTCTCACTTTTGCCGAATCCTCCATCCCGAACCACTCCCGACGCCGAGGGTTTCATGAGTTCTTCATGGTCGTTTCGGATGTCGAGGAATCCGGGCAGCTTGTTTCAGGATTCTCATCC